AAACAGAATGATCTTGTAATTGGTTAGGCATGTGCCAAAATCACTGACATTCCCCAAATTTAAATGGCCTCATTTTACACCAAGTCTTTAGAGATAATAACGTCGGGTACGTCTGTCACCGCGCCTACTAAACCTCTCCCCTGCAGAGGCATTTAGCAGTATTTAGTGTGGCCAGGTACTGCTGACAAACAGCAGAGACTGCCAAGAGGCCATCTGTTCTCGTGGGCTTAATTAAGCTTGGGATTTCGGTGGCCACAGAAGTACAGGGAGGGATACTGCGAAGGGAGAGAGAAAGAAATCTGCAAAGGTAGAAGAGTAGCACATGTGACACCGACACATGTGCGAAGAAAAATTTGGGCCAAAAAATTGGCCCAAATTAATCTGAGTCCTGTGCATAATTTCAAAAATTATAATAAATGTTTGTGAAATACAGTAAATTGTCATGCCATATGTTAAGTGGCCAACTAGTTTCAAGGGTGTATGGAATTAAATAAAAAAAGCTAATAAAAATGTAAATAAAATCTGTCTGCATGAGATCTTACAAGACTACACATTTTAGTCTTGTATGAGACTAAAATATCCTATCAAGGCACGTTTTCCACATCGACATCAGGCATGTGGGAAACATGGCAAAACACATGGGAAAAAGTATTCTCCTTATCTGAGACCAGAATCAAATGACAAAAATTTTAATTCCTAATATAAACCTTTGTTTTTATTCAGCTTATTTACATGCACAACAGCAAAAAAGTCAAAACAAGCTTTAGTTATTTAGAAGTACTTAATTTGATCATATGTGTGGTTACTTCAGATTATTTTGGAATTGTTACCCTTACTCTTTTTATAAAGTTTTTTTTAAAGAATATTAATTTCCAATGTTTTCCTGCTAAACCAAGGACTTGTGTACTCATCTATTTTATGTTGCTGTTCATTTTTCTTAGTTTTATCATCTCCAGTTTTTCTTTCTGTCTGCTTTCAATCTGTAAAACACTGTTACACGTTTCGATTGATTTATTAATCAATGTTAATCTCTTAGTAAAACATAAATAAAGTAAATAAGAAACGTAATGACATACCAGCAGAGAGAGGTTAGAAATTAAAATCGATGGAAAAAATAATAGTTACAAAAAGATAACTGACATCATCTATAATATTGTTATTAATTATATTAAAAGTAGGCTGTGCAAACCAATCATTAGTATGAGAGAAGAAACTAAAAATTGTCATGACAATAATTTTCAGTTTTTTTTATACTCTTTTTATACAAATTTTCTGTTCTTGTAATATTGCTTCATCTGAAATTGTTTTGTGCTTTAACAACTAGTTGCTTGCTGGAGTAATTGTTATAAAATATGACCTGAGGTAAACTTATATTTTGGGCAGCCTATAAAAACCCTCACTGAAAGAAGCTGACAATAAGCTGTTTGTCTTAGACGTATGTTTGGATTTATTTTTACTTTCCTGCGCCAACGTGGGACCTAGCATAGCGGAGGAGACCTAGCATTGTCCCGCTAACTCTGCACGACAGGACGGCAGTTGTCCCGTAAAGATGGTTAAGGTTGGGTTACTCACCTTCTGAGCACCAGCGAGCTTCTTGTAAGAAAAAGTCGTTGTTTATCTCTGCTTTATTCATGCAGAGATAAACCCAAAAACTTCCTCAACTTCCTACTCAGTCTGAACGGGACGCGTCCGACAGCTACGAGCACAAACAGGACATTTGTGGCTGTTGCTGCCGTTGGTGGAGCTGCGCCGGTTGTTGTGAGTCGTTTCCTTGGCAACAACATAGCGCCACAGCGCCTCCTCCAGGTCAGCCACGGAATAACCCCACTTTGTTAAAAAAAATATCAATAGAGATTACAATTTAAATGACAAATACCTACCATAAAATTTCGCTTTTGAAAAATAGAAGAAAATTACACATCAACAAAATAAATAATATGGCAGTTATATTCCAAATGCTTGGATAAAACAAAAACTGCTGAATATATACATAGCATGGCACACAATTTTTTAAAACTAAAAGTGAATATATATGTGCATATATCCACTGAGGAAATTAATCTATATTTCACCAAGTAGATTAATTTCTTCAGACCTGCTTTAACTAGTCACATCACTTCATTTACTTTTTTATCACAAATGCTCAGTATATTCAAGAATATTAGACACACACGGTTTCTTATAGTACACAGACTTGGTTCATGTGGTAGTATAAAATAATTATTCTTCATTTCTGACTGTCATCATCTTATTGATTCTCTTACATGTACCCCATTTTTATTCATCATTTTACTCAAATGTCTACTTTCTTGTCATGGGATTATCAACAATCTTCATCTAATGGGATGTGCCGTCATTTCATCTTGCAAGGAAGAGGTGAGGTGAATTAGTCTAATCTTGGGGGGGAATGAAGAAAATGGAAGACAACCAAAGCTGCCTTTTCCCCCAGTTGCATTTTTGTTGTTAGAATAATCTTTTCTGACACCTTTCCTTTCAACCTCTCTTCCTTCTGAGACTCATTCTTGCCAGTTTTTGATTCTTTCTTTCCTGAAAAGAAAAGTTCATGTGGTTTGTGGCTATTGATTTCAGTGCAGCTCAATTATGCTGCTATCCAGCAAAAAAAAAAAAAAAAAAAAAGACAACAAAAATGTAATTTAGTCAATGTTTAAGAAAATGACTTACAGCAATATTCACAGGACCTCTTAAGTTTGGCATCAGGCATGTAGAAAACACAGCAAAACACATCATGGGAAAAAGGTGCTTTCATTATCAGAGACCAAAATCAAACTTTCTGGCTAACATTACTTGTAGATGAAAGCTAAGACTGCATAGCAGTAATCAAAACTATAGGAAAATGTGGAGACCCTCCCAGGAACAAAGAGCTTGGTCTGAGTAGATGGGAGAATGTATCCAGAAAATACAGTTATAAGAGAACAGCTGTTAAAGACTTCAAATTAGAGAAGGGCACCAACCATAAACAACACTGAACAGACAACCTTATCTACAGTGAGAATTTCAAGACATAGAAAGCTCGATGCAATTGGATAGGCTTTCTTTAATAGACAATATTTTACATAATGCCATTATAAATAGAAATTTATAGAATTAAAAGTAACAGTCCACAAACTATTGACTTAAAAAGATGCATACTTTTCACAAAACAATTATGAACTACTTTCATGGGTGGTTTGATGTTGGAAGGTCCACAGCTCCATTCCTTATGGTCAATATAAATTTGCCCTTACTGGCTTCCAGTGAAATCCTCTTCTGCAAAGTCAGCAGTACAATGTTTCTCAAGAAACTGATATGAGACACATGGGCTAGCTGCATGTTCAGTACCTCTAACAGACCCTTTTCATGTACAGGTAGTTACCCGTCTGATCCTGCCAGTAGCATTACCTTGTCTTAAAATTAAGCCATTCAGTTCTAAGAACACATAATTGGGACAGTGATGCTCCAAATGACTGTTATGGGCCATCTGATTACTACGTTCTTACTTCCACAGCTATTACTGCCTATAATCTAGTGCTGACATCATGTTATGGGTGGAGTCATCAGACTGAAAACTGTGTGCGTCCCTTCACTTTTTGCTGACTTTAAAAAGCCTTGAAACTACTCCTGGCCCTCATTTGTATGCCTTCCTTATTAATATGTATGTTACATGCCTGCCAAAGTAACAACTGGATCAAGGTTTAATTCTGATAAGGCAGCCTTCAAAACAACAACCACATTAATGGCAAGCACATAAAATATCACCCAGACTTGGGGAGCAGTGACAGAAAATCTCCCTTTCACACACATTCCTTCATGCAGCCACAACTTGCTCACACCAGGATCAACACTCTAGTATTATCTCAGCTTAAGAGTTTAGCCAAAGAGGATTCTTATCATCTGGTTTGATACTTTAAGCTAAGAGGTTGTACGTTTTCCCTACAAGGATGTTTTTCTGGCACTTTGACGTCCTCGAACAGTTCAAAAACAGATATTAAAACTCCTCCCTCAAACCACCCTGCAGCCCATTAACTGCACAAAATGTGCACATTGCTGTCTTGAGACCAGTTAAAATGCACTGGGACATTATGCTTAGAAGGTATCCTTCTTAATTTCTCAGATACTACAGTCACTCAGTGTTCTGTTTTCAGTTCTCCATCTGTGGACTGAGTTGAGAGTTTTCTTGAAATTCAGGATGCCTCCGGTTAGGATCTCCACAGATTTGAAGTGCTTTCTGATGCATTTGTGTGCCCTGCCCTTTGCTTATGTCCCTTGGGGACCTATTTGGTTTCATGCTGAATTCTGCAACATAGAACCAAAAAGGTTCCTGCAGGAATTGGGGCTTTAGCCAATGAATGAACGATGTCTCCCATTAAATCTATGCTCTTTTCTCTTGTCCTACCATAGAAAGTAGTTTTGGCTTAGGATTTTTAAACTGTGTCACTTTCTTGAAAGGAATCATTGATCAAGCTTCCATATAGAAATTACTCTGTATCCAGTGTCACTATGTGGTCCATCTTGGTCCAGCAGCAGCTTTTTCTGGTTGTAGTTATTGACGTAGTTATTCGTACTACTTCTCTTGGGATTTCTTTTTCATATAAAGTAGACTCAAAGTTTTGGTGCTCAACTGAATCTTTCCTATATGATCAAAATATTGATTCCTTTATCTGTGTTCTGTTGGCTTTTCTTTCCTGTATAAAACACTCCTACCCAGTGATTCTGCATTTCTTCCTTGCAATCAATGACTAAGCTGTTCATCTCATTAAGTATATGTTGTCTTTGGTTTTAGTACTCATTGCACTGTTATTTTTTCTTTGATAGAGCAACAAAGTTACCATGAAGGATTGCTTCAAAATCACCCACTTATTGCAGTCACATAAACTTTCTCAGATATATACCTTTTTACCAGTTTAATCACAGAACAATTGCATCTTTGTTAGACTCTCCCTGTTGATAACCCAAAGTGTATTAGCTGTAAAACCTTTGGCACCAATGACAAAAACCTCCCACATTTTCCATAGATATATTTTATTAAAAAACAAAAGCCAACAAGAACTCTTTTTTACATAATGATCAAGGATTTTTATTATCTTAGTCTCTTTCATCAGTTTCATATCATTACAGAAAATGTTATTGTACAGCGTTGATCAATGTCTCCTCATTGCTTAATAATTTCCTTAGGAGTGCTGGTCACATATATCTGTACAATACGGTTATTTTTTTTCTGTACATTTCTTGTGAAGTTGGTTAAAAAGGCTGTCAGCACTTAAAGAAGCTGTTTCTTTTCTTTAATCTTTTTCTTAAATAGTTGATCAAAAAGAAAAAGAAAAACTAAACAAAAATGATAATTTTTCCCCGGCTCAGCTTGTCACCTTGGTGGGGTTTGGAGTTTAAGTGAATATAAGGAAGCTTCAGGGTCTGGGCCTGGCTGGCGTGGGTGTGCCCCTAATACCCCCAACCCACCCTCCACCCTCTTACCCACCCTCAACCCTCCTACCCACCCCACACACACACTCACACACCTCACCCTCCCGTTATCGCCTCCTTCCTGTCCAGGCATTTGGCACTGCGCACATAAACAAGACTCACAAGATAAACAACAAGCAAAGCTCTTTGTGAAGCCATTATGATGCATACTAATGAGGGAAAAAACAGAAGTGTCACCTTGATGGGCCCTCAGAGGAGGAGGTGGCCTTGATATGCAGCCTCTTTCCTCTAAACTGAGCACCGTAGGAAATCTGGAGCTTTCCATGTTTTCTTCACTTTCAAAAAACAGATTTTTTTTTCCACTAAAGATGAGAAAATAATAATTTTATTCATTTTTTTTTGTCCTGGCAGGCACCTACAGCGGTCTATTAAAATGCTACTGCTATAGATAAGGTCTAGCATTGAACACACAAAGCAATTGCAATGAAAGGAACAAAGTTGCCTTAATATAATAATGATAAGGAGAATAATGATAATAATAATAAGAATAATAATTATAATAATATATTACAGAATAAATCTCTTTTTATAATTAGATTTTTTTCATTAAAAGTTATATTTTCTTTGTTTGAAATACTATAATCTTTTTAAATTATTTTTTTAAATATGTATCTAGGTTGTGATCAAGATGTTGACTATACCTCAACGTTATCCAAATCAATAAAAACTAGCTGTGCCGTTGCATATTACAGAATAGTCAATGATATGTGGACATGCACCGTGAACCACCCATTCCAACACTCGCTATATGTGATGTCGTCCGGCGTCCCCCTCTGATGACATCATAGCCGTCCAATGACCATGACATCGACCACCTCGCCCTTGTGCAGCTCCACGTATTGCTCTGTTTTTGGAGGTAGCATCAGGAGCCCGTTGGCACTGCGCATGCTCATCAGTCTGCTGCTCACCTGGTTCCCTGCGAGGCGACCATAAACAGAGGGCTTGTACTTATTTACATTTAGTTATTTACACTGGACGAGAAGAAAGCCATTGTTGAAAGAAAGCAAAAAGATGCACAGTTTGAGTTCGCCTTAGCTTTCAGCTTTTTACTTTTTGTTTACTTGCCAGTACTTTAAACACTGACAAGGTAGTTTGTTACTACTTTCTCTATTTCAAAAAAGTTTCCGTCGCTCTTATAAATAAAGCTTTGCTGTTTTACGTTGTTGTACCTGTGCTCTGTGCCCAAGGCAGAGGCTCCTGGTGATGCCACGTCAAAATGCAGCGGTGATATTCAGGACGAGGGTCCAGCTTCACATCACATGACAACTAAGTAGTAAACAAACATACAAGTTAAAGCTTTATTAAACTCCAGCAAAGATATAAATGTAGGGAATATTTTAAAATTCCTCTATTTTTCTTAAAGTGCTTCCGTTTTACACTTTTTAGGTAGTTTGCTAGAATTCAAGCCTCATGACACGGACAAAAAATAAGATGTTGGGAATTAGTGCAAATCCACCAGTGTGAATTGTCTCAATTTTTATCTGTCACAGATTAATTAAGCAGCTAATATGAGATTATTATACTTGTGTTGAGTAAAGAGCACAGTGACAATAATGGTGTCATATTCTGCACAATAAAAACTTGACAATGACAATTTATTCTAAAGCCTATATCAAAATTTAAATAAAGCAATTGTAATATAATTGCACCAATAGGAATCAATGTAATCTAATCATTTTGGAGCAGCTTCCATTTAAGAAAGACCAATTATATTATGTTATAGAATCTTGCTTTAATTTTTTTGTGTAAAAACAATATTGATATATTTTTTCATTATTATTAAAGGAATTTTTTGTTATTTGTGTCTTATTATGCCAGAGGAATCTCATCCTGGCTCATTTTTAAAATTTATACCCAAAATGTAATCTACAAAGTGTCGTGGCCAAGACAAGAACAGCTGAAGACAGCACTAAAATATGCCACATGGATAAAAAAGACCCGAGGTCAATAAAATATAGTTGCCTCATTGAGTCTGTTTTGCAAGGGTAAAGATTTAATCTAAATTTGATGCTATCTGCTTGGGAAAATTGCCCAAATGCAACTCTGCTTTAAGACCATTAATTTCTTTTCAGCAAAAGAGGCACTAATATATTCAACTTGATTTCTAACTGCGTTATAATTGCAATTGATGTAGAGGTGCATGCTGGATGGCACCCATAATGGCAGGAAACCAAATCCTTTACTTGTTAATGCTTGATGGGGGACATAAGCTTAGCCTGCTCTGGGTGCATGATATTCTAGTGATTTCTTTTACCCACTCTGTGGTTATGAATATTCAAGACAGAGGATCAGGCCTTTGGGTTGCTGATGTCTTTGCCAAGTCACAGCAAAATGTTGTGGTCATAAATATGCATCCAGAGGATGATGAAAACACAATTACTTGATGATTTGAGATGCAGCAAGACTTGAGTAGTTTTGTGCAAACATTGAATTTTAACTAATTAATTAATTAATTAATTAATTAATTTATTTATTTATTTATTATTTTTACAGTTTGATGCCTGTGCACTGAAAGCACAGCAATAAACCCAAGAGATTTTTTTTGGCTTCCCTTATATGCTTTGTGAGTCCTACCCTCGCTTTGATGATGGTGGGTCTGGGGTCCAAAATACCCTGCATCTTCCTCAAAGCAGGGATGACAAAAAGATTACAGGTGACAACAGCGGACACGGGATTTCCTAGGACAGACGGGCGGACAGAGGAAGGAGGACGAAAGGAGAAAGCACAAAGAAAAATATCTGAGTAACGAGTCTGTGCGCATGGCTGGCAGAATCGCTCTTTCTCTCAACTTCACACACTACCTGGGAGGGCAAAGATTAGTTTTCGAGCACCGTCTATGTCCAAGGTGGCAAATGTTGTCGGGAGACTGACAAAAACAAATAATACAATAAAACAACAAATGTCATTGCACAAAAAATAATTATGAAGAACACAAATTATTTAAACATTCTCAATAATTAAATCACATTCTATTTGCTTTACCCTGGTTTCATAAAAACACGACCAAAATGGATCTGAGCATGAAGATCAATATCCAGCACCTGCTTGAGGTAATCCTAAAAAATAAAATTAAAAGGCAAAATTATAAAATGCACATTTATTAAACTTAAAAATGAAGTTGAAATCCAGTGTCATTCTCTGTGCTTTAAAAATAAAAAATGTCCAAATACGACTGAAATGTGTCAAATTTTTTTCTGCTATCTCGCTATCTACCACAAGATGTCAGTAAAAGAGCATTATTACCCCTCATATAAATGTACCTTCTCTCCCATGGACACTCCTCCTGAGGTAATGATGACATCAGCACGGCTGATGCCTTCATTCAGAGCGTTCAAAAGGTCATCTGGGCTGCAAGGCATAAAACAGAGAAACAAAAAATACACAAAAGCATTAACTACCCATTTATTTCAGAGAAAAAGTAAGTTGCATGAAAAAAATCAGCAATGCATAATATTTTTATATATCATCATGTTACAGTATTAGTGCAGAAGATTTTTTCAGGATGCCATGATAATATGCTATGATATAAACTATGTGGTAGAAGATAGGAGGTTTGGATAACTAGACACATTGTTATTCATGACGTCTTATCAAATTTTGTCTTTTTTTAACTTCACAATTACACGCAACGTTTTGCTGGTCTATCACACAGGATCAAAATTAAATATTTGCTTACATAAATTGACAAAATCTGGAAAAGTTTAATGGGTATGAATACATTTGCAGGCCATTTTATGATAGAAGGCCCGGCACAGACTTAATGTGAACCTTACTTGTCACCAACGATTCCCAGATTGATGGTGGGGTAGCCATGTTCCTGGATCGTGGCAAGCAGGGTGGAACGATTGCTGTCCCTAATTTTCCCAGGATGGAGGTCGTCCTCTGGGTTCAGCAGCTACAATGAAGCAATGCAGCACAACATGATAGGGATCATGTTTTGGAATAGAAGTTAACAAAGTGGATGAAGAAGCAAGTAATTAACAGGGAGAGTATTTAATGGTCCTTGTCGCGAATCGTTTTTGGTTACAAACATAAAGGCATGCTTTAGGATTTGGAGTGAGTGCAAAATAATTAGGTTCTGACTGAATGAAATGCCACAGGTAATGAAAAATGTCTCACATAAAACTGTAATACTATGTTCACAATGGTCATATGTCATGGGATAACGAATATTACTCTACACACAGAGTTCCAAGTCTTGTTGGGACACACATAGCTGCAGATAATATCATTTGTGTCTGATTTGATGGAACGTGGAAAGTTGGACAGAAAAAAAATATTGAACTTTTTTATGTAGAACAAGGTGTTTGTTTAGATCAGTTGATCAGGACCCCTGTAAGATATTTAATCAGCTAAAGTTTTCCTGTTTTAGCAAAGTCAGGATGACCAAAATGTATCAAATGAAAAAGTGTACATATTATTCTCTTCAAATTCAGAAATTAAACAAAATATATATAGTATTTTTGAAAAATTACCTTTTAAACTGAATGACAGGGTCAAACATTTTGGGCATTCTTCCTCAAGCTTCTCACAATAGTTTAATGTAATTTGGCCCATTCTTCCTCAAACTTGGGGTAACTGGATCTATATGCTGGTTTTACCATCAGATTTTCTATGGAACTGAGATCAAACTTTTCTGATGTCCACTCCAAAACCTTAAGGCACATTGTAACTATTTTGGCAGATTGTCTGTTTGGGAGAACCATTTGGGCCAAATGTCTTGAAATGTTGCTTCACTGTTTCCACTTAATGTTCTTTCTTCAAGGTGCAATCTATTTGTGAGAAGTGCACCAGTCCCTCCTGCAGAAACACCCACATAACATGTCGAACGAAGGACTTTCAAAATAGGATGGCATTTCAAACCGTCTCTCTTATAATCTTTCTCTCATTAATCTGACATTAAGCAAATAGGAATCATTTTAGTATTCTTAACTGACCTGAAACAGGAAAAGTTTAATCGGATTTAATGATAAATAGTGAGGGGAAAAAAAGTTATGTACCTCTTTATGCAGTGTGTCTATAAATATCAGCTTCACACGTCAGAATTAATTTTACTGCATTAATATTCAAGAATGTACTAAAATTATTGGTTGTAAAATTAGAATCATTTTGTGAGTGAGTGCTGCAGAATAACATTAAATCTGAGCTCAACTTAATCCTCTTTTCTAACAGATAATCTGATGGGAAAGCTGATGAAGGAAATGTGAAATCCATTTGCATAAAAATGTCAACAGGGTTGTTTAATACCTGCTGATTTATACCCAGAATGTGATTTTCTGTGAAGGTTGTAGGGCACACAAACTTTGGTCATAACTGAAACACTGATTATGTAGTTTTAGCTTTACCTCATTTCCTGTGGACATGACCGCCACAACAGGAAATTTCTGCACTTCCACCTCTGTGACCCCAACAGTGGCCAACAGGCCAATTTCAGAGGGGCCCATATGGGTGCCCTTCGCCAGCACACACTCCCCACGCTTGATGTCATGACCGATAGGCCTGTGGAGATGCAAACACTGAATTAAAAAAGCTGCAAAGTCCCTGAATGATGTTGTAAGGATGTTCTTACATTCTGTTTGAGCCATGCTATGCATTTAAGCATTCCTTTGGCCTCTGGCCGTAATTACAATTAATGGATGTAAAGCAACAAGGCAGCAAAATGAACAGAAATCTGAGTGGGACAGACTGAGAAAGAGTTTTCTATGTTACCAAGCACAGTTGAGGTGAAAATTACCCAGCAGTGTTTATTCATATTCTGCGAAGAATATGACAATTTACAAAATTAGACACTTTTGAGCAGGTCAAAGCAGAGAAATCATAAACACTGAAGAAGCTGTGCAACTGCCTGAATCTTTGCTTCACCATAAGTTATTTCTCCTGGGAAAAATCTTAAGTGTTTTTGCTGACAAGAAAAAAAGTTTCCTCAAGAAAAGTTCATCAACATAATATGACATGATCATCAAATGAACAAAGACTTAAGATATTAGGCTGAAATAAAATTTGCCACATTTCATCCTCTTAGTTTTAGTTAAAGTTAGTTTTATAATAATCACATAGCAAAATTTGAATTCATTCCCTATTTGATTATGATAAAGTCTGTTACCTAATAATTACACATAAATCTTGTTTATTAGAGTGCATTATAAGGATAATAGGAATTTGTTTTTTGTCATGCAGGCTTTTCTGTTTTAGGCAAATTAAAGTGTCAAATAAACAGCAAATACAATCAGAACCTCAACTTTTTTCTGATTTTAACCAACCTGATGTCCTGTCCTGGACGGGCTTGTACTAGAATTCGAACCTCCAACTCCTCTGTTCCCTAAATAACAAATAAAATATCAGAAAAAAAAATACTGTTTAGCTACTGAAGCAGTAACGGGCACCACAGTTCTCTGCCCAAGAACCGTCTCTCACTGCCTGTAAAACCACAATCATCTGCAGGCTTGGTGACATCTAGTTCTACATTTCACTGTTGTTGGCCTTTGCTTTTATGGTGGGTGAATTGCCACGCTTACATCCTCAGACTCGCGGAGGAGCTCGGTGTCTTCCACCTGGACGACGGCGTCGGCGCCACAGGGGATAGGGGCACCCGTTGTCACCCTCATCACCTGCCCAGGCATCACTGTGTGGGTGGGCTTCACATGCACAGAGAAGGCAAATGAAATTACAACATGGGAAGCAAGGAAAGAATGTATGCATTCCAAAAGTGGCCAAATAGATTCAGACAACATGAAAATATGTCAGTGATGGTGGCAAATCTTTATATCATATACAGCACCATTGTCAACAGTTTCTAAAACTTTTTTTTTTTTTACACAAATGAACTTTTCCTTTGATTACACCCTGAAACTTGTCATTTGAGTAATTTTACTGAGGAAAAAAAAAAAAAAAAAAAAAAAAAACTAAAAACTTTCACCCCCAAGAAAACAGAATTCTTTTTTTCAAACATTAGTTTTTCAAAGTAAATAAAAGCACCTAAAGACGTTTAATTAGTAATCCATCAGCAAGGGCTCAGTCAGGGAACTAATCACACAATAACTGCCCATGTTTGTATGCTTAAAATTAAATTTTACAGAGGAAAAGATTAGTGTGAAGTCTAGGATTTTGGAGGGAGCAGGAAAGTTTAAAGTGGTGGCATTTAATGTGAGGGCAAAATAGACACATTTCTAAAAAAAAGTTAGGCTACACCTTAGTCTAAAAACAATCATGGTGATTTGATTAGTTTAAACATGGAGAAAATATATTGTTTTTAGCTGCTTTTATCAACCAATCACTGATCGCAGAAGTCTAAAATGCTGTCTGACATTAAAAATAAATATTAGAATGTGGAATACAGTTTTTGTTACTTTCATAAAAATGTGTGAGTGAAACTATGAGGAGTCAACTAAAAGGTGTGACTGCTTTCATACTCTGATGAAGCTATTATTGTCACATTAGTTGTGGGAAAAAAGGTTCAAGTGTTCTTACTGTCTGATCAAAACATATCAAGCATGAAAAAAAATAAAGCTTTTCTGATAAAATCCAAAATCTAGCACATCTGGGCGCACACATTGTGTTAATCTCTAAAGGTTAGGTGTGTTTAGAGTTTATCCTGCATTTAGAGGGGACATTTCTTGCTATGCAGAAAATACTGATGTGAAATGACAGCAAAGGCAATAAATCTGTTAGTCAAATATTTTATGTCCACAGACAGAACGTGAGGATGTTGTTGTGAAAGCGTGACAAACCTGCTCTCCAGCTTGGGATTCTCCAATGATGAAGCGATCACCTGGGCCGTCAGCCGCTGACGAAAACAAGGTTTAGATAAATTAGACATGAGAGCAGATGAAAATGTTTGATTGGTTTAGTCACCGAAATGGATTTCAGATCAAGAAAGCAAAAACCGACAAAATCCAACATCACATTAACATGCTACAAAGAAAATATTTCTGATGTGAATGGATGGATATTTTAATAAATATTCATGTCTAATTTCTCATTTGAAGCATTTTAGGTGATTTTTACATAACACATAAAATGAGCAAAGTTTGAGAAAGATAGAAGATTGAGAGAAGAAGAGCCCATCAGCCATAATTTATTGTCCCCACCTCTCACAGCATATCCATCCTTTACTGAAGCAGGAAAGGGTGGAAGGTTGTCTTTGGCATAAACGTCCTGAGCCAGGACTCGACCCATCCCATCTGCAGAGAAGAGAAAAGCAGAACATAGATGAGAGACGAGGAGGAGGAGAGGAAGATAGAGACAGCTGGAGAGAAGCAGATGCGTAAAGGATGAGACGGTGCATCCGATTTAGGCGAACACACAGTGTGTGAGGTTTTTGTGCTTCAATTTTATTACATTGCTTCTAGTTGGAACTTACAAACTTTAATGAAAGAGGATCAGAGACTCTCAAAACAAAGCAGCTCAATGAAAGAAAGAAATGCAGGAAAAGAAATCAGAGTATGAGTGGGCGAAGTAAAAAAAAAAAAAAATCCAACAAAAATACCTTGAGATGATCCATGGATAAATATAGAACTTCTTTGAGCTTTATTGCTGTGATGATGTGGGTGTTTAATATGAAAGATCTAAGCTTTGATATCAACCCAGAAAAAAATATGCATGTACATGCAAAGACGCCCACAGTAATGCAGATATTAAACACCAGTTATAACACGGTGTTGTAAGTGATTCATCCCAGCTGCAGATGAGGAGCTGCAAGGTTCAGTCCAAGTCTTTAACAGCACTTCATCGGAGAAATTCTGTTGTTTTTTTCACATTTCCTTCCAAGCTGCCACTTAAACAGCCTGTTGGAAACATATGCTGAGGCTGAGCTCAGGTTAAAAATAGAACAGAGGTGACGTCGTGCTGCAGCAGTTTGATAAGATGATCTTTTCCCAGAAACATCTTTGATTGTGTGTCCATCTTGCTTTTTGGTCAGGTGACAGCAAAACATAAAAGCGACAAGCTGGAAAGCTGGAGTGCATTTTCTTAAATTTAAATTGTAAACATAAATGACATCAATGAACTGTTAAAGAATATATTTCACACATACACTCAGGCTGCTCCATATTCAGTAGAGGAGCTTCTCCAGATGCTGTCTCTATAAATATTTCATTTTCCCGATGCTACCTCCCTGCTGTCTTGTTCTTTGCTCTGTTTGTGCAAATCTTGTAACTGAGCCGCACCTCATCATGAAATAAAACATATTTTTAAACTTTGGGGTTGTTTTTGTCATCATTTAAGTGTGTTGAGGTCATTACTGCCAGAGGTGCTTGTCTCTATATTGTTTTTTAAAGGTTGAGTCTGTGTTCTGCCCTCCGGCCCTCAGCTTGGCTCCATGTCATCCTTCACCAGTTCTGCCGGAAGAATTACACGACCTTGTGTAGCTAAATGTGGATATTTGTGCAAGATAAGTCAAACGCACAGAATACAAAACTGCTATCGATATTAAAAGCGTGCTTTACTTTATGAATAATATTTGTCTGCTTTATTTACATAGCCCCTGTTAAAGATGGGAAAGACAAGCGGGCATGCACGGTTGAAAACAAAAATAAAAAGACAAACATTTATTTATTTCCTCACTGTGAAGTTAAATCAGGCTAAACTTCTCTTGTTTTAGCTTATTTGGAATTAGCAAAGCTAATTTCTATTTACTAAGTGCCTGAAAAAGTTGCGAGAAATTTTTTTGGAAGTCTTTTGTGACTTTCCTCAAATTCAAAGGTTAACTTACATTTGGTCAGCCTTTTAAGATGTATGGATTGTGTCATAATCATACCTATGCAGAGGGAGTATCATTAATAAAACTCTTTGAAACTCTATTAAGGTCACCTGATTAAACCAAAATTTGCACAGATTTGAACTTTATTTGCAATTGTTGAAATCAAAATAGGTAATTTTTGCCTAATTATACATGGGTAATCAGACAGTATTCAATCAATAACGCTAACATTTGTTTCATTCTTAAATTTTCTACATGTTAGTCCATTACAATTGTCAAAAAAGATCTTTTACGCATTAGCAGATCAAGTTGTCATGCTGACTGTGTCCCATTGAAGTTCATGGCCCTGACATTGCTGCTTGCAGCTATTTTTAGGTAAGGTTTGTTTGTTATGCACATGCCCTTGCAGCCAAGAAAATTTGTGTCATGGAGATTGACATTTTTCATGCATACAGAGACAGCTGATTCAGTGAGGTGTCCTCACAGTGAAATGTGTTAGAGCTTAACAACCCAGCAGCCTTAAGGAACTGATGTTAACTAATGTAAAACAAAAAGGGAGGAATAAGATGATACAAGCATAAAATCTGACCTGGTTCAGGAGCGTCTGCCTCCTTACCTCTGTAGTTGATGATTTCAGTGCCCAGGACAGCGGTCATTTCTAGCACAGTAATGAAGGCCTTGTCCATGGAGGTAAGGGGGAAAGGGGACATGCGGTGCCTCCGGGCAACTTTTGTGATGTCCACTGCACTGTGACCTGTGGGTAAGATAAAGGTTGGACACACTGACAAATAGAAGTTGGACAAAAAAACCTAAATATTCTTCTCTGGTGTCACTCTACTATCACCTCTGTTATAACTTTTATACCTTCCGAGGTGTTGTCTGCATTTTGGTCCAGCCTCAAACATGCATGACAAGATGTTCCTTCAAAGACATTAAGCTTAACCTTTTTAGCATTTCAGATCTTTATTTAGAAACTTTGAATGGTCTTTGGAAGCTGACAGCACTCCGTTGGGATTCTGTCACATAAGAGTAAACGATGTCAGAAACAGGACCACTCCAGATCTCCAGAGGCAAACACGTTACCTTTAAAAGTCTTCATTTCTTTATTTTTAAAACAGACTTTTATCAGTTTACATGACTAAAGCTTGCAGCTGAAGCAGTAAATGACAGATTGCAAATGATTTATGCATTTTGAGGGAAAAGAAATCTGAAATATACAATTATATAAATAAAAACAACAGTCACACTAACATAGGAGGATTGGATTAACAAGATTTATTTTCTCCTCTGCGTGCAGGTGTATCTGCAAAAAACACAATTTGCAAGAGCAGAGGTTGGCAAGACACACTGACATGTTTGTTTTCACATGCTGTGGAGCACAGCTGGATGATTCAGGTGCTCGATAGCAGCTGTGATGATCTAATAATACCTCTCTAATAATTCCAAACGTAAAAAGGAACAAAGCTATGTGTAACTAATGCGTAATCTGCTTTCTTTCCCTCTGTCTTTATCTCTTCCTACCTCTCTCACCCCCTCTGCTTCTCTGCCTCCCAGTGAAGAATAGCCGCCACACTTTGATTTCCCTTGACCTAATTTTTGTTCCTTTAAACATACACTTACGCTTCTGCAGCATATTCTTAAAGCTTAACATAAAGCTTAACAACTTGTGGCACCCACATGGATGCACAAGCATAAGACAGCAACCACACATAGGAAAAACACACATTTGAATCTATTTATGAGCTTGGGAGAGCAAACAGGAGAAGAAAGTAGTTAGAACTCACTTGATCTTAGGATATTTTCTTTGCTGCTGCATCGTGACTGCACCTGAAGATGGATAGAGACAACGGGGGAATGGAGAGAAAGAGAAACAACAAAGGTGGTAATTTTTGAAATTAAGTCACATGAAATAAACCAAGTTGATCTTTTAAAACGGTCGAGGTGACAAGCTGGTCGTACAACATTCAGAAGCACTAGCAAAAGCTGCTTCACACAACACTGTGCTCTTTGTTCAGCTTAGGGGAGATGGCTGCATCTCCCGCTTTACGTTTTAAACATTTAGACTAACAGCACAGGTGATAATCACAGGTAAATGTGTTCACATGTCACGCTGTCATTAAAGAGAGCAAAGGACTGTACGGACAAATGCAACAACATAGAGAGTGACGATAATCACATCACAAAAATCATATCATAAATTGACTTTGACATTGAATGCAGTGAAAATGCTGAGCTGAGTATTGATCGGCTGTTCAGATGTGGCGCGGGATGGAAAGATTCCTCTGGGAATCTTGGATGCTGAGTGGGAGCTTCTCGTAACTCTATGGTGAAGTGGGGAGGAGAGCAGAGATGGATAAAATTAGGTGAGTTTCCAGCAAAACACACAAAACCATTTTTGTAACAAACATCATGATGCCAATGTAATTACAACCCTAGTCTTATGGATTTGTTCAGGAAAATGGCAATTTTGTAGTTTTGTTGATGTGAACCAAAATGAATAACACTCTCTTTGGCTATAGAAACTACGTGCAAAGCAGATTTTAGCAACATGTTTAAAGATATAACCCCTTATTTGGGAGTAGATTACTCTCAGGTATAATTGAATTGAAGGTTTCTTCCTATAGAAGTACTGTTAGTATGGAGGATTTAGTGACAACTACAGGAAAGGTCACAGATAGCAGCTAAATAAGTACCTGCTTACACAAGATTCTACATCAATTGCATGCCAAAACTGAGAAAGGATTAAGTTTTACTTTAAACACATCAGAGTCCCTTTTAAAAATTTCTGTACTGTCACTAGACATAATGAGATTCATTAAGATACATGTTTAAATACACAGCATAAAAATATTTTTTTTTTCCATTTTCTAACATTTAGCATTAGTAAAATGATTTATGAGAATTTTTATCATCAGTTTTCCTCAAAGTTTTCACACCTACTTTGATTTTGGTAGAATTGCCTTTGAACTATATGACTTGTATCAAACATGTTTTGCAGGCTGACTTGCTCACATGCATTTGTTTGGCTCTGAAGAGCTTTGGCTTTAAAGAGAAAGTTTAACGCACATTACAGGTCTTCAATTCATAAAACCCATACAAAGAAAAAAAATGTTTTAATTATATATTTGACCGTAATTCACTACAGATGTGTTCATTAGCAGAAAACAAAAATTTAACAAATGTATTGAAATGTTTCTCATTATTAATATGTGGAGTGGTATTTGGACAGCACTCTTGATTTCACAGTATCTGTAATGATAAAACAGCAACCTTTTCTATTTCACAAGTAACCAATTCACATTTTGCAGACCTCATAAAATCTGTACTTAAGTGCAAAGAGAAAGATCACAGTTGAAAATGCTATCAATATTTCCAATCAATTCTCCAACTCCACCTTCAGAATGATGTAATAAAAGTAGTGCATTGCTAAGATCCTGTAATACATTTTTTAAAGTTGATGCACAGATAAGATTCTGAATTTTTATTTTTAAAATGTTTTAGGATCTTATCAATGCAACAAAGTTTTAAAATGATCTGTAGGGTTTAAGTTTAAAAAATGTTGCGCATTGGTGGGATTATTAAAACCCTGGAGCACAATTAAAAAATAAAAAAAGGACAATATTTTGTTAATGCAACACATTTTTCAAAAGTTATATTTTGTAACTGTATGCAATACGAATATCATAAATGTGTTGAAGTGATATGTTCCTGCAGCACCATTTTAAAAATTTTATAAACTCATTGGACTCTGATGTACAACTTAAAATCTGAAGTTTATGAAATCTATAAAATGTGGTGCATGATTAGCATGTTGCCATGTTAATTCTGCATGTAGGATGTTTTCTTATGCTTTTGGGATCTCAGTCATGGGGTAAAGGAATACAAGAAGAAGAATGACTGAATGCTCTTAATTGAGTTGCAGCTTTCATATGTTTTGAGATGATCTTTTATTTACCTTAATGAATACAGGTCAAATTAAAGAAAAAACTAAGGGCACGTCAGTCTCCCTGTGTGTCAAACTTTAATATTCAGTCGCATCAGCTGAAACTGCCTTGTTTGCAGTCATTATCTATTTTGTCCTAACATGCCCTTCACTCACTCTGGGATCTCTCTAAGTCACCCCTTCCATCTCAATGGCTTCTGTGACCTTTAATCATTAAAAAAACAAGCTGGGTGCGGGTGGCGTGTGATGTATGGAGAACTGAGACACCCATAGTGAAGGTGAAGGTCTCTCTCTAATCACCTACCCGCCCCTTGCTGTCTCCTCCCCTCCCTAAGCTGATACTGCAACACCATACAGCCAAGGTGAGAGGGTGGAGAATAGGTGGTGGGGAGTGATGGAGAGTGAAAAAGACAGGAAAGGTGAGTTGATAGCCAAGGGAGGCGAGGAACGATGGCGATCAGCATGATGTGATCCCGCAGCCCGGAAACAAACAAAATTTTTTTTTTTTTTAAATGGGACACACTTCATTAAATTACAGAGCTGCGACATAGCAGAGAGAAGAAGGAAAAAAAAAACAACAACTAAAAAACAGTAAAGACCAATAAAGCGGTCTCAATGCCAACTACTTAACAGACATCCAGCACATCAGACAAAAACTACTGAAAGCAGACCACGTTAACCGGAGAGACAGAAACAGAGATAGCCAGGCAGATGAGGGAAGAGAGGGAGAGATGGAGAGAAACGACAAAAGACAGAGAGGATAAGAATCCTGACAGAGTGAGTGAAGGAATAACGAGACAAAGAGTGACAGGAGTAAACGAAGGACAGGCCGAGAACAAGAAACAGACGATTTAGAAAGTGAGAACGGTGTGTGATAGCCAGAGAAACAGCTAGGCAAGCGAGGGGAAAGAGGGAGGGAAAGAGGGCGGGGAGGGGGGCAAAGAGCGGGGCATTTGATTTGCGCGCTCCTGTGAGGAGGGTTGAGGGACGGGCAAAGGAGGAGAGGGGAAAGGGGGAGGGGGCGGGATAGTTACTCGAGAGCTGAAGGTCCTCCTGCGATCATCTTTAAGCACCTCCAACCTACAATGGAGCTATAGTGGAGATAAAGCATTGAATCACAGGCATCAGTGCATCTGTCCCAGCAACCACAACAGCACAGTCAGACATGGCAAACAGACAGACGGGAGGAACAAACACACAGACAGGTATCCACCACGACAAGCAACCCTGGCAGGTGCAGCAATGAGAGAGCAGAGCTTAGAAAGAGAGAGAGGGGGTAAAAAAAAGAAACAAAAAATTGGGGAGCGGGGTTTATATGGCCTCATTGAAGACTCTCCAATGGCAATCAGTAAAAGCTTTCAGAATTTGAACTTTATTAACCCTGCATCCTTTAAGTTATGTTTGTGCTGTTTTTGTTTATTCTCTTTTGGTTCATCCAAGTCTGAGAAGCTGTTAAGTGTAAATTACTCTCTGGTCTCCAAGTGTGTGTGTGTTTTTCTTTTTTCTTTTTTTTTGCGTTAGAACAAATTTCATCTTAGTAAATTATTGCTCTGTAGTGATTTTATTCCTTGAAGGTCCATTAGTCCAAATGATGAGATTGCTATCAAGCTGACTAACTGTACTCAGCGATCAGTTAATTGTAAATATATCAGTTTAGACCATGATAATTGTGGGTTTTATTTTGGCCTTGCTCTTGAGAGGGATTTTAATATTGCATTATTTATGCAGTTATACATAAAAAATGTAAAGGTTTAAACTCAAATGACAACTTTTAAAAACTGATAAAGGCTTGTCTTTAGTCATCTCAGTTTTCAATAAACATAGCCTTTAAATAATTTTATCCCTTCTTAAATAAGGATAGCTTCCAATTGTGATAAAAATGCAATTAAAAGACCCATGAAATCAGAAATATATAGGTATCTGATATTGAACATTGAACTTTATGGATATAGGTGTGATGCGTTTCATTTGTTTTATGTTCTGCTGCTGAATAACCTGGAAGCCAGTCGTCAGTAATGCAATTTTTGGAAGTCATTAAAGATATTCTTACCTTCTGTAAGAATAATCTAAAGTCATACCATTTTCTCACTTTTACTACCATCTGCTTTTATTTGACTTACATTTGGTCCTTTTTATTATGGAAGCATACAGTGTCAGCATTTTTCCTCTGGCACTCTATTTTGTAATTAATAAACTTGCATCTGGGTCATTTTGCTATTCCTGGTCACCCTGTTTTTTTTGTTTTGTTTTGTTATGCAAGACACTAGGATTTTGTATGAAGTGATTCTTGATAATTTCCATCAAATTCCAGGGTTTCAGATACCAGGGCCCTGATCTTTCTAACAACTTCTTGTGTGACCACAAACAAAGTGGAATCTTCCAGACATTCAGATTTGCACAGACTTTGTAGATTATTGGCATCCCTAGCAAAACGTGCTTTAGATATATGCATATCTTATTACAAGACTCAAACAGTTACACAAAAAGCTTCTTTGGAGAAATTTTAACGTCGCATATTATGTCCTCGTTTTTTGTGAAGCTTCTGGTCCTCATCTAGTGTCTCAATTGCAGTTCTAAACGTTATAATTCTTCCTTTAGGTTAGTTTAGTGATGCATCTATGTTCTTGTTGGCATTTCTTAACTTATCAAATCAGCAAAAAATTGTTTATGCATGAAATTACACCCTGGGCGAACTCCTGTTTTAGCTCCTCGTCCCATAAATCAGATACATCAGCATCATATCCAACCATCATCCCTACACTGTGCACCAAACTGGGAGTAGCCCATTCCCCATTGGATAAACATGGAAAAAGCAAAAGAAAATTAACTAAATTTGAACTTCTTATTTATGCACTATATCAAAATCTGCTACAACAAAAATAAAGTGAGATTCCCACCGCAATTAAAAATTTGTATTTTAAAGCAGACAATGTGATAGACGCATATTAATTTTCCATCACTGACTGAAAATTGGATGTATTTATAATTGTTTCATTAATAAATAGCTCTTTTTGCTTGATTTCAAATCCTTTTCAGGGGACTCAGATTAGAAACCCTTGGAAATTTGCAAGGCAGTAGGATTTGTGCTAGAACTGCCCATATAATACACTGAAAAAGACCAATAGGGAAAATTAAATGCAAGAAGAAAAAAAAAGCTCTATGGCAGCTAAAAGCAGTTACAGCAAGACACAGATTGAGCCTGAACACAGGTAAAAGCACAAACAATGTAACAATCAAAAACTAGGCCTGAAAGCAGTGAAAATGCAGAATTTTAAGAAAATATGTGATCGCAGATGAAGAATCGCATTAGAATCTCCCTACCTTGCTGGTCTCTTTAAGCACATCACAACAATAAAAATAAAGCTAGCTTCTACTTTCCAGTTTTGCATAAGCCTTATAGTAATAGACCTTCATCTGATTTACAGAATACAACTAAAAGCTTCACAGCAACTTAAAAAAATAAAAGTTTATTATGGGGGTACAAAAAAAAAAAAAAAAAAAAGAAAAACCCAAATAAAGAACAAAACATTTTGGTGCAGAAGATAGCACCATCAGTAAGCCATAGGCAAAGACAGTTTGCAAATAGATATGAGTGCGCTGAAGGAGGGACAGGTAGATGTGTGGGGAAGTGAGGAGAATATGAGAAATGTGAGTGCAAACACAGATTTGTATGCTTTTTATTTTTTATAGTTAGACTGTCAAACATTTCCACAATGACGTCTGGACTGTCCATAGCTGCAATACCCCCCCTTTACTAATGAGAGACCACCATGTGAAGATGGAAAAAAAAGTCTATATGAGTATGAAGGATGAAAAAATGGTTACAAATACTCAAATACACAAACACAAAAACAACAACCTGGATATATATGTTTATTAAGCCCCTGCCCAAAAAATGTGAATACAATTTTTGCCGCTGGGAGGCATGTGCTATTTATATGTGCATCTAAAGATCTGAGTTGCAGAATTTCGACTCTTTAACTAACAGCAATATGCTAATAATGGAGATGTGTCAGGAAGATCAATGTGGCAGGGAGCAAGTGGCAGCAATGACTACAGACACAGAGCAGCGAGTGCGCCCAAGCTCGCAAGACGTGGCTGAGAGCGGGTGAGCTGCAGCCGAGGGAGGGGGGTCGATAAGCTCAATGATCAGCTGGCAAAGACTGATTTTAGTGAAATGATGGGATGCAACTGCTGTGGTGCTGACATCAGCACAAAACAGAGAAGCTGTCAGAGAAATTATGCAAAAGAAGGAGAGGTTTTTTTTTAATATTCACTGTGAGAAGAAAGAGGGAAGGTGTTTTAGTCAGCTTTGGTTGCCTCTGCCTCCTGGGATCAAGCTGAGGACTCAATGCTAAAAAGGGGGCATGGAGTCAGATTGGGAGAGGGCCTGGTAAAATGTCACAATTTGAATGCAAAAAAAAAGCTCCAGTCTGGAGAGAGGAGGAATGAGTATAGGTGTAGTCGTGATGCTTTTTACCTCCTCAGTTAATTCTAGTTCTTACAGTGTAATGAAATAGTCTTTGCCCAATTACAGATTTCTTCTCTTTTCTCTTTTTTTCCCCATCACACTTAAATGTTTCAGAAAATCAATAAAATGTTGATATTGACAAAAGAAAAATTACTTTCAAAGCTATCTGAACCAGTCTGGCCATCAGTGGAAAAAGTAATTACTCCGGAAATCTAATAGTCTCTTTAAGGTCTTAGCACACTGTTCAAACTGGATTTAATTACAGACTTTGACTAGGCTTTTTCTGTTTGATTTAAATTTTTAGTGGAGTTGGTGGTGTGCAGTGGGTCCAGTAGGATGGGTTTTGATGTTCTTCACATGGTTTTGAATCAGTAATTCAAAGTAACTTTATCTGAGGTAGGAATAACACACAGATCCAGAGTCTTGAAGATGGGGACCAGTTAGTGCAAGCTCTCAGACAAGATGATGACACACAATCAGATCCTTGAGCTTTCCTGATTATCTGCAAGAAGAGCTTATATTTACACGTGTCTCAGAGATCTTTTGTCCAGGCAGGGGTCTCTGAAGAGAGCAAGGAGGAGTTTGAGGGATGCATGGCTTGTCAAACCTACGGTAAAAGCTACTATGGCCGTATGCCAGGGTTCCGCTCTGGATGGGGGAGAAGGGGTTGCGCTTCTTTAGTTGGTTTTAAAGTAATCCCATCAGATTACTTTATCTGATGGGATAACGTAATCCCATCAGAGTAGCTTATACACAACTGCGGGTGTATAAGCTAAAGTATGAGGATCAGCACCGCACAAACCCACAAGGTTACAAGCCAGAGGAAGATCAAGCAGCTCAGATCGTCTTTCCAAGATCAGGATGGCAGACGATTGGGGAAAACAAGCGATTGCTCCCTGGAAGAACAATGAAGAAACTACAAGGGGCTCTACTTTCCGATTCACAAACAGCAATCATACAAAAGGTATGCTTTTCATTTTGAACCAATTTGGGTTAAAGTTAGTGTTATCAGAGATTAAATTAATATGTTAAATTTCTGTGGATGAGTTTGTACAGTTTTACAATCTACAGTGTAAGCAGAATGACATATACTGTAATTTGTGCAGTGACATTTAGACAAATGCTTGCTGGCACAAAGTAAACTTTAGTGAAGTGTTTGAAATTTGATTTATTAGTTCACTTCGATTTGAAGACAAACTAATTAATCTGCATTTACATAATAATTTCCTTGCCTGCATGCCAGTAAGTAGTATGATTATTGAAGACTAAGATGAGAACTTGTTCTTCCAGATCCTTTTGAGGGACCAGATTACCACATCGCTCCTCGATGGGTTCACAATATAACAACAATCTGGATGTGTTTTGTGGTTGTCTTATCAGTCTTCACAAATGGTCTGGTCTTGATAGCCACAGCAAAGTTCAAGAAACTCCGTCATCCCCTGAACTGGATCTTAGTCAACCTTGCCATTGCAGATCTTGGAGAGACGGTTTTTGCCAGCACCATCAGCGTGTACAACCAGTTTTTTGGATATTTTATTTTGGGACATCCAATGTGCATCTTTGAAGGCTACATTGTCTCGACTTGTGGTATTGCTGCTCTTTGGTCCCTGACTATCATCTCTTGGGAGAGATGGATTGTTGTATGCAAACCTTTTGGAAATACCAAGTTTGATGCCAAATGGGCCACAGCTGGGATCATGTTCTCCTGGGTCTGGTCGGCAGTGTGGTGTGCTCCTCCCATCTTTGGATGGAGCAGGTACTGGCCTCATGGACTGAAAACTTCCTGTGGACCCGATGTGTTCAGTGGAAGTGAGGACCCCGGTGTCAAGTCCTACATGATTGTCCTCATGATTACATGCTGCATCATTCCTCTGGCTGTCATCATCTTGTGCTATCTGGCAGTGTGGTTGGCCATTTATGACATTGCTATGCAGCAGAAGGAATGCGAGTCAACCCAGAACGCCCAGAAGGAAGTATCTAGGATGGTTGTTGTCATGATCTTGGCTTATTGTATATGTTGGGGACCTTACGCCTCTTTTGCTTGCTATGCTGCAGCCAACCCTGGATATACCTTCCACCCTTTAGCCGCTGCCATGCCTGCATACTTTGCCAAGAGTGCCACCATCTACAACCCAGTCATCTATGTTTTCATGAACCGACAGTTCCGCACATGCATCATGCGGCTCTTTGGGAAAGAGGTGGATGACGGCTCAGAAGTGTCCACATCAAAGACAGAGGTCTCCTCTGTGGCTCCTGCATAAACCTTCATATCCTCCATTATTTTTTTGTGTTGTTGTAATTTAACCTGTATGTAAAATTAAGTTATTTTAAAAACTTAAAAGTGAAGGTTTTGTGTGTCAATGCATAAAATAAATTTCAATTATTTTAAGAACTCATGGATGTGTCAATGAAGTAATTTTGGTAAGTCAACTATTTACCAATACTCTCTGTTGTCTGTATTTGTGACTAGCAGATCTTAATGTGGTTCACTGCAGTCCTAAAGCCTTAGAAATGGTTTTGTAACTATTTTGATGAATGACTTTACCTTATATACCTAGCCAGACAGTTTCTATCTGAGTGATTTATTTAAAACATTGGTATTAAAGTAAGGTTGCAATTCATGACTGTGTCAAGAGTGTGTTTGAATTTCAAGATGGTCTTATTTGCCCGACATCCAATTTCATTCAATGAGCTGAAACATTCAAATGTGGCAAAACATCAACACAGAAGAAATCTGTAAGGTAGAAAAATAATAGCACAAAATATCTCATGTATTTGGCACCAAACTACCCCCTACTCAAACAAAACAGCATCAGGCAATAATCAAGCCTTACAAAAGATCAGACGGACGATGAATGAAAAAGAATGAGTGCTGGTGCAGATCTGGAGAAAGAGGCAATGATTCAGAAAACTGTTGTTGATTAGAAAAGATGGGATATGTGGACTTTACAACTCAGTTATAACTAAATTCAATGTTGCTATGTGTCTCACCACAGTACATATTCCATTTACAGCTGAATCAAATTATTGGGGTAGCAAGTTTTAGATGTTTTTGCTCCAGAAATTTAATCAAATCAACATGTAATCTTTGACAACACATTTATCTAGCTATTTATCAACATCCTATGTACATGGGCTGTATTACTACTTTTTAAAACAATTTAGTTATAAATTGTAATAGTCCAGTGTCATAAATTTGAACAGATTCACACTTAATTCTTAGGAGTTGAAAACAGTACAGTCAAATTACAGTTATATGCAATTACATAATGAGGAAACTTAAAAATATATAATTTAAATTACTGCATTAATATTTTATGTGATAGACCAACACAAGAATTGTGAAGAGGAAAAAAATATGTTTTGCTTTTTGTTTCCTTCTTTTAAACTTGAAAAATGTGGTGTGAATGTGTATTTAACCCCCTGGACTGTGCTGGCCCTAAATGAAACCCTTTGCCCCAAATTGCCTTTGGAAGTTATTGAAATAGAAAATAGAGTCTACCTGCATGAAATTTAATAATAGTATACATGCAACTCTTCTACAAAGGCCTCAGAGGTCAGCTAGAGAAAATTAGTGAACAAAAACAGAATGATGAAGCTGCAAAACGACCAACATGACTGTCCACCTAAACTGACAGGCAGGGTAAAAACATCTTTAATCAGAGAAGTTCTTATTGACCTGTTGACTCTGGAGCAATACTGTCCTGGCGAAAATGGATGGAAATAAATACAGAGCCCTACTGCAAGCAAATATGTTAAGATACTGTGAAACACTTAATGCTGTGGTAGAGATTCACTTTACAGTACAACTCTGATGCTAAACATATAGACAGAGCTGCAATGGAATCGTTTAGATAAAATAAACCCAAATGAAAATCTTTGGCAAGCCTGAGCAATTGTTGTTTCTGTTGCTCTCTATTTGATCTCAGTGAGATTTTACAGACAAGTAAAATTATACTTTGTGGAGGTCTATCACATATAATCTCACAGTTGTAGCATAGCAAAATAATGCTTTTACAATGTGATCTCGGCCTCTTTTGAGTGTATTTGATGCTTTTGCTTTATCGCATGAGACTGTAAAATTAATAAAATGCTCCAGTGAAACATTTTATACTGAACTGAAGCCCAATGGGATTAAAAAGCCCCTTTCTCTTACTGCCTCTCTGCCTGTGTGTGTGAGTGGCAATGCATGTCACTTGTGTTAGGTGGTCAGGTACTCTGTGGGAAGCCTGCATGCCAGTAATTAAGAAGTTGCTAGAAGGTTAGCGGGTTTACCTGGTCCAAGGTAGAGTACCTTGACTTGAGCGTGATGACCTCATCCAGGTGAGCCCTGAATTCTCTCCGTGAGGCCTGGGGGAAGCCACAGGATAGTCACTCATCTTCAAACTACACACCCACACGCATACAATACTAAGCTAGAAAAGGCATGCACACCCACTCGGACATAAATGATCAGTTAGTGGTTCCATTTGATTATCCAGACATTTCCAGCCACAGTCTGGTCATTTTGCTTGAACAAAAAGGACAAAATAGCCACCAGTGTTCCATTGACTCTTCAGTCCGACCAAATATAAATCCAGAGTCAAATATCTCACTATAATCTCCAAAAACACGACAGAACCGCACCGGCTCAGGAGATTTAAAGCAGTTCTAGCAGAGAAAAAACTCAAAACTCAGTGTATGCGATGAAATCGACACTAATCTATTATTAAAATAGACACTGCCAAAGACATCTCTATGGAGAAATAAAGTCATGAAAAAATTCAGGTTTTATTAAAATATTAGTCAAATTATGCTCGAGATTAAAAATGCCAGGCAGGAAAGATCACAATTTTAGTAAGGCTTAGTGATTTTAACAATCATTTAAGTCCTGTCACGTAAAATAAGCAAAGGTACTTAAAATCAACCAGTTTTTATCTACGTGGGCTGACTGTCCAAGTAAATGACTCAATTCACTCAGCTGGACTTTCTCAGATAGGTTAATATTATAAGTTCAACAAAATTGGATTATATGCTCATTTGAACTGATCTGGGTTGAATTTAATTTAATCTGACTGTATAACAAGTTTGTGTTGGAAATTATTGGACTAAACACAAATTGGACTGGACTTTGAGTAGAACTGCTTCCTACTGAATTGAATCTAATGACTGTATTTATTGACATTATCCTGTTGACGTTAAGAAAGGTTTGTCAGTGCCATCACCCTGGAGACAAGCGAGCAGAATTCGGAAAACTTGATAAAAACAGGGTATCTTTTGAGATGTGTTTTTTTTTATTTGAAGCTTTCTCAGATACAATTATTTAATAAATGTATAACATCCTCCCCATTTTACTCCTTCCAACTGAGCTCATGTCTCTATTATTACATCTACAGACCAGAATCACTGGACTATTACCAAGGTAACAAGCAAACATTAGAGCTATGAAAGATGTTAATCAGTCTTTTATGTGCTGATGTTTATGTGAAGCCTTGTATGTGCAACAGAGGAAGAGAATTGCACATTGTGCAAGCAATATCACTTACATTCAGACACACAAAATAAGCATCTTTCAACTGTGCTGAGGTTGAAAGATCAGTTAAGCAAATGTAAAGTGATGAAAGTTTAGTTATTTGGCTGGGTCTGAAAGGATGGAGACAAGTTAAGAGCTAGAAACAGAATGTTCACCAGAAAGAGGTCACATTTTATTCCAAGACAAAATCCACAATGAAACGACAACATCGAGGTGACGACAAATGCACAAACACAGAGGGATAACTGAAAAGAAGAAGAAAAATGTAGAGGAACAGCAGGCAGGATGATACAGACACACAGAAACACATGACAGAAACAACAGGGAGACAGGGATTCGAAGGTGCTGCATAAGAAGGAGGAAGCATCGATTGATGCCACTGTTACGATGCATCACAACACATGCAGGAGTACCTCAGCAATGCTTAGGGTGGATGAACAGGAGGGGAGCCGCGCCTGGTGCCGCGAGAGAGAAAGGAGGGGAGAAGAGAAGAGGTTTAACAGAGCCAAAAGCCGGGTTGAGCAGGGGACAGAGGCACACAGAGACTGACAGGGGGAGCCCTCTGTCATTCAGGATGTCTCGGTCACGGGTCTCTGTGTGACTGTCGTAGATGGGCCAAGGCAGCCAAGGACAGGGTGGACATGGTAGGACAAGATGGGACAGGAAAGCACAAGAAAGGTCAGGACAGCAGGTAGGAGTCTCACTGGGATTCATTCTTCACCAGATCAACTGCAGCAGAGGTTTCACACAGGATAATCACACAGGTCAAAAATCATTTCATTTTGTCTCCTGGCATGAACAGATCAGGGCTTATGCATCACATATTAAATAATAAGGTGGTCTCAATTACACAGAAGCCCCAGTTAAATAATTTTAGGTTGTACTGAACAGTTAAATTGTAGAGCAGATCAAATTATTTGCGTTTCTCAGTTACAGTTACTTTGTTTTTTATCTTTTTCTCAGAAAATTCATCACTGAATCAAAGGCAGCTGCTGTTCTGCTTTTTCTCCATGTGCTAGTTTGTGAAAACCCCCCAAAAACATCAAAACAAAAACAGCACAGGGACACTGTGCTGGCAGAGACACTGCTGTTGGTCTGAAACCTTCCAGCATGGAAAGTGGAACAGTATTCACTGAGAAATACAGTTGAAAGTGTCTCTCAGTAAAATAATGATGAACAATAAACAGAATAGATTACAGGGCCCTGCAAAAGCAGCTACATATTTTCAGATTTACTGGGATTTCGAGTGAGAAATCAATTCAAACTAGGATATAATTTGAAAATGGAAGCCAAAACAATGTTTGAATTTCAAAATTTTTCTACAGTAAAAAATATGAATGCAATCTTAAACCTATTGCAAAATGCAAATGAATTGCTACAACATTCATTTTTTTTTGTTTTTGGAATTTGGAAAACATTTTTCCTTTAAAATTGTATATTTTTACAAAGCACATTTCGCAGGAAGCTGTCCAAAAAAACAAAATAAATAAACAAATCACACTTTTGTGCTTTAAAGTAATCAAAAGAAACAATGCATTTCAAACCACTTTTAGATGATAACATCTTATTGAGAATTTCTGTTGAAAAAGCTCGGACGACGTTAACCACAACCACAAGCCATCTAATCTGGCCTCATTCATCGCAGCCCCCTCACGTCTCCCTCCATGTCTACATATATAGAAAAATAATGAGCTGAAATAATGAGTGAATTTCCCATGTAGCAGAGACTGAGAGCTGACACAGCTGATTTGACAGGCACATGTTCTGCTGCTCACCAGTCTCCCCCGCTTCCTTGCTGCCCACGTGGTGAGTGAGCATGCTCGGTAGAGCTGCTTGGACAGTCTAATCCCTTTTTTTCCCCCCAAGGCTTTTCGTTTGTCTTCCCCCTCTTCTGTGTCTGACTGTTGCTCTCTCTTTCTCGCTCTGTCTGTCTTGCTATTCAAAGCTCTCTCGCTCTGGTTCCATCCTCCACTGCCCTCCAGGCAAACTCTCAGAGTCAGTGGGTGTGAGTAAGTCGAGACAAATATAATATCACATGCGGTGCACGCAAACTTTCACGTACACACACGCATGAATGTTAAAAAGATGAGTCCTAATCCTGACATGTAAATACTGAATGTGAGCTGAAGAAGGTTTATGTTTAAACACCTGATGGGACAAGTCTTCAGAACAAAACCAGAATGTTTCCTGCACACATGGACAAACACAAAGGACTGAAATTATTATGACTTGAAGCCCACAGCAGTTTGAAACCATATGGTCAAAATACACTGCAAGGCAAAATAAGGAAGAAACAACTTCTGGATGTAGCTACTTTCATCTAGTGTCTTCAAGCATACATCTCACATCTTACTGGGTAATTCATTCAGTTTTATATATATAAAAAAAACCCAAAATACAAATTAAAACCAATAAATTAGATTTTGCATTAAAATATACAATTACGTATCCCTTATCCTTCTATTTCTTATAACTTGTCGGTTGCTTTTTGTTAACAGGATACCTAACAGCTTCCTTTAGGCTATGTAAAGGTTGCTTTAGCTGATGATGCAATTGGCATTTATTTTTAAGTTCTTTGCCCCTAAAACACCCAGGAGACCCTCTGGTCTGAAAATTATATTTTTCAACTGTCTTCAACTCTCTGTTGCAAAGTTACAGTGAGAAAAACTAAACACACTGTGACAAAAGAGCATGAATATATATACATACATTATTTGCGCTCTAAAGTTTTCTTCTGTTTTTGTAAATTAAAATGTTTTAGATAAAATGGAAAGAAATATATCAGACAAAGATAAAAGCCAAAATGTAGCTGCTGGATGAATATTTTCCAACCTTCGCAAGAAAGGCTGGTCAACAAAAATGATATTTTCAATGAGGTTACAAAAGCACATGGAGCAAAATCTACAGCATGGCAGGTTTCAGTGATAAAAAAGAAACTAAAGGCAAATTTCATGTTTGCTAAAAAACATCCTGGGTCTGTTTTCTCAAAATCTTCCCTGAATGCTTACGTTTTAGTCTAAAAACTCATGTGAAGGAATCTTAGTTTAAGAGTAATTCAAGCAGCTGCTGAAAGTAACTGAGCATAGAAGTGGAAAATATTTCTATATTAGTGAGAAGGTGTGGTTGACCCTATTGACGGTTGTGATGCTGTGGTCGGTTGATATAGGAAGTAAAATAAGACATAAGAAAACAAATAGGCCTCCAGTAATAAATTGAGAGAAAAATAATTGATCTTTGAATCAAGACTGGTAAAAAAAAGTGTAATGACGGCATCAAAATGTTTGATGTGCCTTACTTACATCCTTATCGCTAGTGTGATTTGTTCCGGCTTCTTGCAATGTTGCTACTTTTACAACTATCTTTTGTCAGAAAGTATCCCTCCTTCAGTTTTCCTGCCGTCTTCTCTTCTTTGGCTCACTAAAAGGCTCATCACTATTTTCACTTCAGGAGTTATCTGAAGGCTTAACATGCTTTGTGACTTCAAACTTTAGCTTTACAAGGTAAAATCTAAGAAAAATCTTTGAATTTGAGAACTAAGAATGAAAAATAAACAAAAGTGTTTTAGTCTTCTTAGAGAGTACAGGCCTTGATGTTCCTCAAGATAAAAGGTCCAGTTTACTTGAGAGACAAAACTGCAACATTTTGGAAGATGTGTTTGATTTTAAATTTACTCAGCATTTCTGAAGAACACCAAGCTTCAGTCAAACATAGTGGACAGTAGTTTGATGGTCTGGGGCTGCTTTACTGCAGAAGGACCTACACGTCTTAATTTAATAGATGAGACCGTTAATTCTGCACTCGACTGGAAAACCCTGGATTAGAATTGCCACCGTCAGTTTGTGACCTAAAGCCTAAGTTAAGCAGGATAACAATGATTCAAAGCATTTAGTATTTTGTCAAATATAAAATTTGTAACATTCAAATGTGATGTAAAAGTTAAAACAGAAGCAATCTGTAAGGAAGGTAATGCTTTGTCGCAATGATTCGGGTTGGCCTTTTTGCAAAAATATTTAAAACAATTTCAACAGCATTTGGCTGCATTTTCATTATTTTTTTTAAATATTTACCACTGCATAACAGTGACTGTACATGAGCAGAAAGGAAATTATGTTAAGATCGTGCCCTCGACAAACCCTAATCGCTAAAGTGATGTGAAATCTGAACATGCACGTTACACTCTGCATCTTCAAACACAGAATTTGTCTGAAAACTGGCACTGAAAAGAATAAATACTGATCACTGTAGCCGTCCATCCGTTTTTTACCCTCATCCATACTGCCCTCTTTTCCATGTACAGTTGTGCTGCAACTGAGCTTAGAGGTGTCAGTGCTTCAAACACCTCAAGGGACAAAAATCAAGAACAAGAGTTGTTTTTTGTTACCTTTTATAAGGTTGAGTAGATTGCTCAGCTTTAACACTGACTAGAGTTGAGCTCTGTGAGATGTTGCCTTCCATATCCTCACTCCTCGTCCTGCCGTTTTATGTAACCATGTCTGCCACTTTCCAACACTGCAGGAGCACAACAGCAACTTCCTTCTCTTCATGACTCTGCAGCCCACTGATACTTTTAAGCTTGTCGACAACCTCATTGCTCCAAAACTGAGCCTCTTACCTTCTAACCCCTTCTGTGGCCTGACAGTGTAGCTGCTTTGGGCTCAACAGGAGCATGTACAAATTAGATTTCACTAAATATACACTCCATGCATCCAGGCCCATATCCATTCAGTTAAGAACACTAAATCATTCACTCAATAAACACACAAACAGAAGCCTGTAAACATTCTCTCTGATATGCAGAAGGAACGACATTACTTACCATCCTCTGCCTGGAATCGAAACAGAATGAAGCTCCTCGTCACATGCACACGCAAACACACATACGCGCAATTTCACACACTCGGTAACTGTGAGAGAGTCGCGAGGGTGAGGAAGACTGAGCAGAGAGCGAGGGAGAACAAGGAAAGGCTGGACTGGAAAGGATGCACGAGAGAGCAGGAGAGCAGCGAGGGAACAAAACAGCTGAAATGAAGAAGGGGAGAGGAAGAATAAGGGATGGCGGCGGTGGCTGCACATGCGGTGCTGTACACAAAAACATCCACGCATGACTGACTGAAGTCTGTGTTTGTGGCTCTCTGTGCATTTCCCATGAGCATTTCTGTCAGGGAAAATGTAATTTTTTCCCCCCCTCACAACTTCCATCCTCATTTATGCTACTTTTATAGTTCTATGTGACTTGATCTGAGACCAAGACTAAGGCACAACTCCTGAAAGTTGGACATACAGATGCCGATGGACAAAAAGCAAACAGAGAGACAAATCATGCAGCACAGGCTTGGCTAGTCACACAGTCCCTCTTTGCAGTTTCATCACCCTTTCCCCACCTCCCACTCCCTCCCGGTCCCTTGTCTTCTCAAACTCATTAGCTCCCTTGTCTCTTTCGCGCTCTCTTCACTCT